AAGTTTTTTTTTTTTTTTTAATTTGTCAAAGAGCATTATCAGAGTGCATGGCATTGAACAAGGAGTTACTCAAGCGTGAGTTTGTATGGAAATGTCGCTTAGATTAAAATGGGTTAAGATGGCACAGCAACGGATGTCCCTATTGGCAAAACAAACAGAGCCCACACAAATGAAAACTGCCATAGAATCTGATTAGAAGTGATCTAATTGATCTTTCAATCGAATCTCAATAATCGTAACGGCATCTATTGTATACAAATATACTGTACCTTCGCTAATCAGTCTGTCTCTGATTTCCCAAGCAAATATAGTGGGGTTTTCTTGTTTGTAAAGTTCAATTTTGGAAACCACCTCCGGGGTTGCTACCTTTGGTTTACTGCCTCCAATTGTACCAGGTCGAATCGCTCCCATCTCGTAGTAGCGCCCTGCTGAATAGATGAGAATATTATCAATTTTACATATTTCAAAAACACACAAGATATAAACAACTTCCATGAACTGAGAAAAGATACAATTCGTTACAACCTTCGCCAAATAATGTTATTAAATTTGTACAATGATTTACTCGTTCCAAAATTGCGATGGTTTTTCATTCAATAACATTGGGAAGTTTTCGTGAATTAAAGTAAGACATCGATCAGTAACTGCGCAATCATGTATATCCCACTAAATAAACGCCGATGATATACCTGTGGTAAGTTTTGTAGCCAAGAAAGCAAATATATACCCAGAATTGATTAGTAACAAATTGTAAAAAAAACAAAAAAAAACGTGTTGTTTGCACTAGGAAATCCCAATAGGGACATTCAAGCTGGTGCACACCTTGTTTGTGATGTTAAGCTGTTCCCAGAGCGCCAGTTCAAGTTATTCACACCGGGTAGTTATGAAAGTCTTCTTTATAAACAGTCCAAAGTAATTACAAAGAACGGACTCTACTTGTAATTAGTTTCACACTATCCGACAATAGATTTCTCACTTTTAACTCTAAGGTGTGTGTTGTAAAGCCAAGGGCAATACTTGGCCATTCACGTTGACTATTTTGTCAAACATGTCAAATACGGCAAGGGTATTCTCAATAAGGTGTGTAGTTCTCGTGTAATCGTATTGGTTTTTCGCGTCACCTTGGCAAGTGCATTGAGGCGATACAAATCCTGACCACGTGCCTAGCTGGTACAGCAATGGTATCATTGAAAGCGCATTTTCATCCCTCTCATCAGTTCACATGCTCAAATGGAATGGTCATTTTCGATATGGGTAAAAAGGACACAGATTATTAACCTGATTCTGACTAAGTTAACCCTCTCCATTTCATGATTCTTTAATTTACTAGAGATTACACCAAACATTCCAATATACGTCGCGTAACAGTAAAATGAAGGCATGTCACTGTGAAAATGCCCCGGTAGCGAAAAATTAATAATTTATTCAGAATAGTGGAATTAAAATCGTATTGCTTGCATTGTCTCTATAGTTATTTTTTATTGGCTTCCTCTGTACATATTGTGCAACATAAATTTGGCTAATTGCTAGTAAAACATGTTTAGTTTATCTTTATAAATATCGAAGAAACGGGAAATTTGAACTACTGTTTTGAAAATGAACGAACTCGGACTGTGGGCGCGTAGGCCTTTGTCAAGTGGTACTGTACGACTGTATGATAGGTGAATAAACCTGGATATGTTATGTTAGTCGCCATACGGCAACATCGCTAGCGAGAGAAAGAGGAAGGTATACCTATTGTTGATAACTATTAACGCGACTACTTACCTAGCATTTTACTGACACTTCCATGTGATATTAATAACTGCCTGGAAATGTCACAGGGTCTGATACCGCAGTGAGCTAGCTCCACTATTCGATGTCGGAGGGGATCGGGTAATGGGCGCCCGTTAAGGAACATGCCACCGAGTTGGGGGAGTCCGTTCAATCCTGAAATATTAAAATAACATAAGAAAAATATTACAGACTGAAACGCAGGCTTGAAAATTAGGAGGAATACAGAACAACATTGTGAGAATCAGACAACACCAGGCGTATCTTATTTGATAAATAACATCAATATTGGGTAACCGATATTTTCGTTATTCACCCGAGGCTAACTTTATGTCAACTGCTTATGGTGGGTTTGCTTACAACGTGCGATGCCCCGAACACCGAGCTGCGTTCAACATGTGCCCTGGCTTTCAACGGCTATTAAAGGACGCTCCGCAAAAACTAACAAACGCTCATCATATGTGCGTTTGAAAAAGCCTTTGATTGAAACCTAACGAATTAGAAAAGTACTTTCAAGATGCCCAGACAAAGAGAATGAATAAGGTCACCAAACAACTGAGTTGTTTTCATCGGCATACCGTGGGAAGTACGGGGACATCGTATAGTTCTAATGACTCTGTGTTTTCTTAAATGATATTTCCTCATATGAAAAAAAACATGGTTATGATTCCAATTATTAAAACTAATGCGTAGATTATCGTTATGACATGCTCGATAAAAACATTTAAATAAGTTGTCCACCATGGTAATCACTGTAGATCGATGTTTGTTTTTGGTCTTATATTAAATGACTTGCCTGGATGAACCGTTGTTGTGTCCATGTTGATTACACAGTTCGGGTCTAACTTCGTTTCACTGAAATGAAAACGAGAAAAAAAAGTTTTAGACATGAAGTTATTATGTGGAATCGATGATACGGTCCATGTGAAGATTGCAAACAATACGCAAGGACTTTAGTTTGTATACCGTGACTTCTAAATACGGGGGTAGATTAACGGTTCGTTGAATCCCAATAATGTGGTGGAAAGGGGAAAACAAACATTGCCGTATGTATCTCAATTGGAAGAGTAGATTACCCCGTCGTCGCACCGGTAGTTTTGCTTCGAGTACCTTGCGACGTGGTGTCGCTCTGGTAGTTTTGCGGCAAGAAACGTGGTCGCACACTGGCACTGGAATTAAAGTTGCAGCGAAAAACGTGTAACGTTCATGACGGTTAGCGCATTCACACTAAAAACGGTCTAGCCATATAATAAGTTAGAACTCGATCATGATCGCCAGGTGCTGCAAAGACAAGTTCGCCGACAATACCGACATCACTAACAAGAACGATTTTATCCGAAGATTCAAGTTTAAATATTAAACTACGTACTCACATTGTAAATATTAATGGAATAAATGTACAAGAGAGTGAGTCGTATTACGGCGTTGAGGTTTTTCATGATAAACAGGTTAACAAATTAGCGTTAACAACAAACAATATAAATAAATTTTAGTACATTTAAGAAAAAATGCCAAAACCACATGCTTGATTAATAGGAACACGTTCCGAGATTAACACATTTTAAAACCGTCTTTGCTCAGTCTCTACCTGAAGTTCTTTAAATGTTTTGTAATTCTCGGTTATACGGAAATAAAGTTATTATGTGCCGAACCAATTGTGTCCTTAGCCCAACACATACGTGTGTAAGTTAAACTGTAAAAGTCAATCTACATTACTGATGTGACGCGTTATTTTTAAAAACCTGCAGTATGTGTAAGCCGAGTTGTGCTAAACAACGTATAAATACTCACATGAACACCGGCCAGTCGGGTTGATGAAAGTCGTCGTTAGTCTGTCAATACTTTGGACGAACGGGATGCTTATATAGATGGATAATTTATTCAATACCACCTAGAAATTAATTAATCCGTACCCCCTGCCAACCAATTTGAACAGCCCCTTTATGTACTTTTATAATAATACCTAGCAAAACGCTCGGAATATTTGTCTGTCACCGTGTGCTCTGGATCGCTATGCACGCGACACTGTTAAAATGCACGGACCAATCACAAACGCGTCAGTAGAATTGGCTGATGGGCGCAGTCTCCGCTCCAATCGTTTTCCATCAATGAGAGAGGGACCTTTTAACACGAATTCATTGAAGGTCCATTGTGGGTAAAAACTTACTCGCTTACATACTCTTTAATTTTAATGAGTTTTACTTAATTGGTGGTATAATAGATTTGAATACGATAGAAAGGATAGCTGACATCGGTGCTGTGTGTTATGAATATCAACGTCCCAAACCTCGTGCGCTGTTTTTATTGCAAGTGAAGGGATCGACTGGGAAACATTTACAAAAACAATTCCCGTATTAAAACGACCGAATCGCGACGTGGTTAAAGTGGTAAAAACAACAAACATATACTAAGTAGATGAAACTTACAGTTGTTTAGATTGGAACGTATTTTCTTTTCGAATTACACCTATAATCATTGTTCGCATTCTTGATAGTTCACCAAGATCATTCAATTTTTTTAAATCTTCCGATCAGTGTTGATGATATAAATATAAACCATACTTTGTGATGTGGGCCATGACTGGCACGGTGGGATCGTAGCTCAGATATTCTGGCGAACGTGCTCTTTACTGCCACTATTATTTTATATTTAACTTTTCCAAAGCATTAATCGTGTTTGTTTCTGACGTGTCAAATATGCATATACATATCATACGTTCCCTCATATGCTAATTCAGGTAAATGTTATAATATCGATAAATTATTTCAACGAACTTAACTATTTTTTTTATAAAATAAAGTTTCTCTGTGGTATCGACCACCATCGCTCTTACGGTTGTGCATTACTGGGAAGCTCCCATCTTCCTGGTGTGTGAGAATTCTATTGGATGGAGATCTGGTTCACACGTCTATCACAATTAATTAATTATTTAATTAATTACATCACATTAATTAGTTGATAATGATTGTAGCATTGACTCCCTGTCAACTTTTTCGTTTTCCCACAATCTGAATAAAAACGAAACTTTGCCGGCTTTCCATGTCACTATGAAGCAAAACTAAGGTGGTATTCAATGAAACGGAAACCAGTCTACCACCGGCAAAGTCCCGATAAGGGCATTATATCACCCAGAAGTGGAAGTTAATTAATTTCACAGACCAGGTCATCCTTTTTCGTTCACCAGTCAAACTGTATATGTTATTTACGGACCTGTAAGTTTTCTTGATTTTGTTAATCGCCAAAAAACAGACGAGGCGTCAATATTTCTGATCATTACGCGGCTACCATGTAGTAATCTAAAGCCCATCTGCTTTTCTTGAACATGACTTCAATAACTAAGTCATGGTCACTTGACTTCAACGTGTGTGACTGATAAAGAAAGAAAGAACGACTTTACGCTTGAGTTGCGCTGAGCGTCCATGTTTGCGAGCGCTGTGACTGCAGAAGTCAGCGCCGCACAGAAGTGCGATTGACTGGACGGGGGCAATCTCCAAGTAAAGAACACACACCTGTCCCGTGAACGTGCAGTCCACGCGCCTCAGCCAAGATGGCTTTCTAGAAAGGGGTACTAGACCCCCTAAGCGTTACGCTATCAGCGACAGGGGATTGGGTGCGTAGCAACGTGTATTCAAAGTCTATTCACCCAGACTTGCGGAAAGCCTATTTGTTTATAACACGGCATATTCGTTAAAGGTCGTCACATTGTGAGTGCACAACTCCCTATTTTTCCGCTCAAATACTGAAAATTGTTTGAAAAGTTTTGAAATTCGTCTGATTTTCTTTCCGGTAGATAAACTACCAATCGAACATTAAGATTAAAGTACAACTTTTCTTCCGTTCTTATAAATTCAATATTACAAGCTTGTTAAATTATGGCATTGTTACCATCCTCCCGTTCTATTTAGCGTCTGATTGAAACAGTGACAACCCAAACCACTAGGGTAAGCATGTTTTTAAGGATAGTTAGCCTCGATGTGGCCCACTGCAGTGTCCAAAACCAGAAACCATGACACCATGGTGTCAAAGCACGTTCAAAGTAACAGCACAGTTTTGTGGAAGACTAAATATTCATTTCGAGCCATCAATAATCAAAATGCATGACGTAATCAATCGATCATGGTTCTCATGCACAGTATCATGGATGAGAATATATTGGAGGATATTAACATTAACAAATTAACAGCGGCATTGTCATAATTTCATCACCCTGAGTCAAATTAAACCCAGTTTCTGGTTGAAACAATTATGCGCGTGTAAAATTATGATTCTTATTATTTAAACCAGGCCCATAATGATGTGTGTTTCCTCTTTAATTTAGTGAGCAATTCCTTTCCATCAGATAAGTACTCTTGTCCCGGCGTCACGATTGTAGTCTCGCACTGTTCTATTGACTAAACAGTGCTATGGCTAAGATCCTTTTGAACATGGTGGCGACACGCCATAAGATCAATGTTAAGTCTAAATGAACGAAGACTGCCAAGAATACGCCTATCAACGATTAGCCAGTTGGCTTACCAGCTGCCGATATGCCTAGGTGTGGGAACCGGTATTCGTCGTAATGCCGACTCAAAAAGTGCCGTGAAACAGATACTCACAAAACCGTCACGTGATCGTTTCAAATCACGAAACAAATCAGTAGGGTGGTTAAAACAAATGTCAAATCATAGGAGGTATCACCCTGTCATGGAGGTATCACCATGACAACCAGGTGCCTTCTCAATGTGTAATAACGTACACTTGAATTGCAATTTAGTCTGTGGATTTTAGGCATACATAGAAATCCACACTCACCTTAACAGGAGTTATGTATGCGTTTAATTTAACGAATGATCATCTCAAAACTGTGTCTCATTACTAATTAGCATAATACGTAATACGTTTGACGCCGATCTGTATTATCGTTAATCTCGTTTCATATTTGCGCTTTAGAAAAGCGACAATTCTTCGTGATTTTGAAATGACGGCAAAGTTGTTGATATTTGGTCAGTTTGATGAATTTATCTAATTGCTATAAAATGTTGTGCATGTCATCTGATACGTCCCTGCTCGACAATGTATAGTGTATAGTAGTTTTTAGTCAAAATATGTTTCCAGAGACAAAAGGAGAATCCAATTCAACAGCAACCGCAAACAAAATATAAAAATCAACTAACAAATAAAAATATATTTCGAAAAGGAGAATTAAAAGAAATTTAACAGAGTCAGAAGTTTCCGAAAATTCGTTATTTTCTTGTATATTTTGTTTAAGGTTGGTTGCGGGACAGTAGTCACGTCAGTTGTACGCCGTGAATAGCCGTTCGCACACGCAGTAAAGGGTCTCGATAAAATACACGCCTACAAATGGTCTATTAATGGGTACCGGTTCGTGGAAGTAGGCTTGCTTTCAATTCTAGCACTGCTTACAGTTGAGGTAATCCAATTGCAAACGTCCTATAAACAGCAATCTCTTTATTTGATTTGTTAAGTGGCTATTAAGTAAGCCTTTTCAAATGTGCAGAGATAACAGTAGTGATAGATAGCGATGGCTTCGTTAGTAGTTAACGTCTGAATATCACAGCGTGTCGGCATATACGTGCATCTTATATATATTAACACAATGTATTTCATTTACATATAAGCAATTTGTATTTATTGGAAAAATGCATCACGAAGCAACTATTATTTTTGAATGATGAACTCACTCACTGCAGAGAGTGAGCATAGAAAATCCCACTGCAGAGAGTGAGCATAGAAAATCTCACTGCAGAGAGTGAGCATGGAGGAGTCCCTACAGAGAGTGAGCATAGATGAGTCACTGCAGAGAGTGAGCATAGATGAGTCACTGCAGAGAGTGAGCAAGGATGAGTCGCTGCAGAGAGTGAGCATGGAGGAGTCGCTACAGAGAGTGAGCATGGAAGAGTCACTACAGAGAGTGAGCATGGAAGAGTCACTGCAGAGAGTGAGCATGGAAGAGTCACTGCAGAGAGTGAGCATGGAAGAGTCACTACAGAGAGTGAGCATGGAAGAGTCACTGCAGAGAGTGAGCATGGAAGAGTCACTGCAGAGAGTGAGCAAGGAAGAGTCACTGCAGAGAGTGAGCATAGATGAGTCACTACAGAGAGTGAGCATAGATGAGTCACTGCAGAGAGTGAGCATGGAGGAGTCACTACAGAGAGTGAGCAAGGAAGAGTCACTGCAGAGAGTGAGCATGGAAGAGTCACTGCAGAGAGTGAGCATAGATGAGTCACTGCAGAGAGTGGGCATGGAAGAGTCACTGCAGAGAGTGAGCATGGAAGAGTCACTGCAGAGAGTGAGCATAGATGAGTCACTGCAGAGAGTGAGCATGGAGGAGTCGCTACAGAGAGTGAGCATGGAAGAGTCACTGCAGAGAGTGAGCAAGGAAGAGTCACTGCAGAGAGTGAGCATGGAGGAGTCACTGCAGAGAGTGAGCAT